TTCTATACGGAATTTTATACTGAAAAATTTAAGTATTAATTCAAGATAATTTCAGTATATTTTTTTTCATAGGGAATTTATTTTAAAATCAATTTAATATGCAATTTTTAATATGATGTTTTCCATTCTTATTTAACCTTTTTTTCAATAAAGATTTCCGGTTGTGGTTTATTCTTCGACCTTTACGAACATTTTTCCAATCTTAATATAACACCTAGAACTCGAATCTTTCGAATTTATGCTGATATAGTTCAACTCACAAATACTTTAGAAATAGCATCCTTGAATGGCGGTGGCGCTATTTTGATAGTAGCGAGACGAATTGAAATTGGACCGAAATGTCAACTAATTATTAATTACAAAAAATCTTTCCGAATAATAATATATGCTATAGAAATGACATCTAAACTCGAAATTGTCGCAAAAAATCAACTAAATAATAATGTTAATACATTTAAATTCGATATCAATGATTCAAAAGATAATAAAAACATTGGAAAATTACTGAATATATACAGTGACAAGAGTCCCGAATATAAAGATTTATATATCTTTGATAAAGTTATTCTTAAAAATTATTTATTCCTTAAACTTTTACGATACTCTTTACTTATTGCAAATACCTTATTTTATGATGAACCTACCATTACACGGTCAATTCTTTCTTGGATATACAAAATAACTGAATTACAATCTGGAATATCTGAAGAAGAGGAATCATATCAAACGATTTCAGAATTATATCATAAAGCGCTTTCTATGCTAGTACAATTGGATACTTATGAAGAAAGAAGGAAAAATGAAATTTCATTTATTCCATTATTAGATAAACAATTTTATAAGACGGGAGTTGATGAATTTATGAAATATGTAAAATTTTATGAAAACAAATATACGCAATTTCTAAAGAAAAAAAGATGATATTGACGAAAGGAGAACGGAATCTGAATTGTTACTAGAAAATTCTAACGATAAAACTGCTTTGTACGAACATTTAGAAAAGATTGAATATCAACGTTATGTTTCTGCATCTAAATTGTTGGAAAAAATGGAAAACGAGCTAACGGTATGTTGAATATATATATTTTATGAAAATAGAAACTTCCAAAACTATAGGTTTCTTGGATTGTTTTATAACTTCCCTTCCTCAAGATAATTAAACTTTCCAGCGATAGATATTACTATATTATTACAGTATTATGTATTGTCATATTCTGAAAATTATATTTAAAAAATTTAATAAATATTTTATTAATGGCAGGACAAAAAGAATGAAGTAAACAACGCATGCGAATATTTTAAAGACGGAATTGAAAAATGGAAGCTACAAAAAATCAGCGATGCACAAATAGAAATGTTAAAAGCAGTTTTTAGTTTAGCGGTGTGTGTTGGTACGATTGTTATCAGACCTGATGGCATAGTCAACATTATTGAAACTATAGAAAAGACATCTATTTCGGTTCAAGATGCTCTAAATGCTGCTGATAAAGTGAAAGAATTTGCTAATGATAACAAAGATATAAATGAAAAAATTGAAGAAATTAAACAATTGACGAAAATTTACAAACCAATTATAATATCGCTAAAGTTCTGAATAATGATGTGACGACAGAGCAAGAAAAAATAAGTTCTCTGAATGTAGATGAACTTGCACGAATGTAAGTTAATTCGTAATTAAGATTACTGAAAAATTCATTTAATAAATTTTGATAAATTTGATAGCCTTAAAGAAGAAGATCATAAAGGAATAAAAATGAAAGTCGAATGGAACTCAACTGAATATATTATGATGAAGTTACTTAATTATGTAAGTATACAATCATTTATGTATATATAATATTCTGTTAAACTTATTATTTCTTTAAATATATTTAATATTAGCCTATTGAGGAAGGAATTGAAGGTGCAAATGACTATAAAGATTCATTAAAAAATTTATTTAATTATATTAACGCATACATTAAAGCAAATAATGAGAAAGTAAAAAGTTATAAAGAATATTCACGAATTAAATTGCAAGTAAAAATGTTTAAAGGAAAAGAAGAGAGACTCAATAGGAGGATTGAAGATTATAAGTTGAAAAAAGATCAATGTGACGAATACGCATTTTCACTACTGGAGTGCTTTATTAATATTAAATGTTGGATGTTAACATATCTAGAAAATTATAGATGTGCATACAAATATTGGTCTCTTTCTGAATCCGAAGTTATGCTTTCTGCTAAAAAAACTACCGCAAAGCACATAGAAGACAATATTAAAATTCGTCAAGAATTAGAAAGTAAATACCATGAATTTGGAGGTCCACCTCAAAATTCGGAGCATACAATTCGTCTTCCTGCAAATTATACCAAAAAATTTAAGAGAGATAAATTTATTACCTACGAGATTCCATTAGATTACTCAGAATTTCGGCGATTTGAGCGTGTTCGACTCGTTAATTTCGGTGTATTTTTGAATGGTGTTGGTTCTAATAATGATGAAATCTCTCTTTATATTAGCAATACAAGTATGTTTAGTGATAAATATAAAGGGAAACATTATCATTTTAGGCTGGAATCTGTAAAAGGTCAAGGGTTTAGGTATAGAGTATCAAATAAAAAAATATTACAAAATGTGTCATTTGAATCAGATATATATGTTGTCCCAACGCCATTTAGCCAATGGACTATTAAGCTTGATGAATGCAAAATTGATGAATCTATGGTGGATCCGTCTGCAATAAATCTATCTGAATTGATTTCAATTGAAATTAAATTAGATGTAAAGTGTTACCATATTTAAAGTAGCATATTGATATGTAATTCTGTAATTTTGATTAGAAAATTTCTAAAACAAGATTATTTTTGTTATTTTGATTTAAAAATTTTTTATAATAATTAAATCATTCTGTTCTCTTAATCATTAAGTTTTCGAATCAATATGATCAAGTATTGTTTGATAATAGAGCTTTGGCTAAATAGCTTGAACTCAAAATAAAATAATTATTTATATTATGCATTTCATATATTTATTACAATAATTTAAAAATGTTATTACCATAAATTCTCGAAATAGAAGGCGTATGCGTTATTTTGAAAATCGTGCCCCTTAAAAATAAATATGTGGGTTCAAATAACACCCATGCGCGTCCCGAAATAACGCGCACATCACTACGTATTATGTATTTTGAAAAAACCTGGGTTCAAAATAAGGAAGTTAAAGAACCTGTTTGGTCTGATCCAGATCCGGTTCTTAAAAGTCTGGGTATAACCTAGCATTTTAATATACAATATAGATAATTTTTAAAGCGAAATGCCAAAAATATTTATGTTCACTTTTATCCTGACTAGGGATGGCAAATGTTTTAAAACGTGATTTTAGAACTGATGATTGTTTGATTTTTAATTGTTTAAAATTGTCTTAAAATGTTTTTAATAAATCATTACGTAATCAATATAATCATTAATATGACAGTCAAATTTTGATTTATCATTGATCATGAGCGTTAGTGCTTGTTAAATATATTTAATACGATTAGTAATAATATTTCATTAACAATGTCCCGTGGAAGGCCTCCATTTAAATAAATTCATTCAAATTTTACAAAAGTCACAGAAGGTGACAAACAAGGTCAAACAACACCTCGTCAGAAGTGTAATCATTGTGAGGAAGACTTTGTTGATTTAATCAGTAGATTAAAAGATTATTTATTGAATTGTACAAAGCTTTCAAAAAGTGTAAAGGCTTCACTAAATATTCAAGGCTCTAACTCTATGTCAGTGGCAAAATTGGATGTTGATAATATATTAACAAAATTTTTTTATTCTGCTGGTATTCTTTTTACAGCAATAGAAAACCCTTTTTGGGAAGAATTTATAGAAGCCATACAACATTATGTTAAAAATGTGCATCCATTTTATATTAACCCAAATCGATGTAATTTGGCCAACAATCTATTAGATGCCAAATACCAAGTTGAACAACAAGGCTTAGATGCAATTTTAAAAGATGTTACAAATATTACATTAGTGTCAGATGGGTGGTCAAATATTAGGTGGGAGTCAGTTTTAAATTTTATTCTTTGTCTTCCACAACCAATTTTTTATGATGCAAAATATTCTGGATCTGAGTCACATACGCAGAGTATATATATATTTTTTTGATATTAAGGTGAGGCCTTGCTCATATCTTTATTAATAATTTTATTGGGTAATAATAACTACTAGTTGACTAAACAACTAATGTGAATGTTATACAATTTGTAAAAATACAAATAAAATAAAACTATATAGCAAGAATAAAAGCTCAGACTAATTTATCTGCGACCTAAACCTACTAGAGTGGTCCTTGGCTCACCTAGATTATAATGGAGGAAATATAATTAATTAAAGTACTATATTTGATCCAATAAACAGACCAAGTATTGAATTTCCTTCTAGCCTGGCCAACAGATGGACAGGTATTAAGATAAATATGTAATTGATCTGGTTTTCTGCATAGACAAGAATAAGTATATATTGTACGAGTATGTTGAGTTGAGGTAGTAGATTGTGTTGAATTTGAAGAGTCAGAATGTTGTTCAAGACTGAGAGATTCAGATTGTATAGAAGGGCTTAAATTGTTAGAGTATGGATAGTTGAGTTTATTGAGCTTTCTTCAGTTAGAGAAGTTGGAACAATAGGGTTTCTATATTTGTTCATATAATTGTTCATTTATTTTAAGTAATAAATTGATT